TATGAGGCTGGGACATTGATAAAACTCTACCATGGCCACGGCTGGAGTGTTGTGTAAATCCCCCATAGTCTGACCAGACTCTCTCATTAGGGAGACACACAGATAGGCCGGGGGTTTAACCTGAGGGTAACCACCCCCTCGGGGTGAGGTTGAGGAGGAGGCTCCCCTCACGGTAATCCTCAGCTGGTTGTGGGGGGGAGGGAAATGAACCCTCGCTCTGTTACTCAACATCACAAACCAGCTGTTCAGCCAACTGAACTGGCCTGAGGCCCTCCTGAGCAGTGTGTAACGTTGAGGATGGTGGAGAAACTTGGCTGGTCTCGGGCAGACCTCGCTGAGAATAGATTCACAGATTACATCCAGCGCAGAAAACACCCTTCGGCCCATCGAATCTGCACCAACATAACTGCCGCTACACGTGCGCTGGTCCCAATTTCCTGCTCCAGTCCCATACCCTTCAACGTATTTGAAGTGCTCATCCAAATACACCTTCCCAGACAGTGCATCCCACAGCGCACCCCAACAGTTGTGTGACAAAATATTTTCCACCCCAAATCCCCTCTGAATCTCCCGACTCCTCGCCCTAAAACTATGCCCCTCTCGTGATCAACCAAGAGGTAGATCTCTGCTGCCCATTCGCCCCATCCATGCCCCTCATAATGTTATACACCTCAATCATGCCCCCCACCCCCCTCCAATGCTCTCAGTCTAAAGGAATCGATCCATGCCCATCCGGTCTTCCCTTGTAGTTCATTGTCTCCTTCCTACCTCCTCCAGAGCTACCATGTTGTGAGGGGACCGAAATGGATTCCCTCATATCAACCTGGCCCGCTTCCCGTATACCTCGAAGCTTCCAATCCGGTCACCCCAGTAGGAGGCGCCATGTCGCAAAGAGTGAATTAGGTCTGGTGTGAGGTTTTCGAACGAGGTGATAGAGGGGAGAGGAAAATACAAGGCAGAGGGGTAACTCTTCCAGAACGTACGTGCGATGGGCTGAATGGCCTCTTCTGTTGGGCGGGGAGTGGAAATGGAGCCGTAGCCAATCCTGTGCTGTCTTTGGATGAGGAGCGGATGCGGGGCAGACGTCTGTAATTACCGTCTAGACCTTAGTTTCTTTTTAAGAACGCTTTGAGAGACACCGTTGGCCATGAGGCTGTGTGGAGCAGGCAGCTATAAAGTGGGTCTCTCAAACGGAAACCGCGAAATTTTACCCCCCTCTTGGGCTCCAGGGCAGTTAGTCTGGTTGGAACCGGCTGCGGCGAGCGCAAGTGCCCCCCCCCCCCACCCCGCCCCCAGGGCAATTAGGGTCGGGCAACATTTCTACCCCGCCTCCTGTAATGAAAGAGGAGGCTATTCAGTGCTTTCGGCATAGAACGATCCCATCAGTCTCCACGTCTTTCTGTTGGCCACTCTCACTTGCCCGTCCAATATCCAACTGAAGCTGTTCAGCGCAATGCACATCAGCTTTTAGTTCCTTGCCACTCCGGTGGAAAGACACCCCCTTCCTCACCCCTTTTCCAGCCCCACTCCCTCCCCTTCACCCACCCCTTGCCCAGAATCCTAAATCTGTATCCTGTTGACGAACAGAGAGACCTTGGGGGGCAGGTACATAGTTCCTTGAAAGTGGAGTCGCAGGTAGACAGGGCGGTGAAGAAGGCGTTTAGTACACTCGCCTTTATTGGTCAGTGCATTGAGTATAGGAGTTGGGAGGGTCATGTTGCGGCTGTACAGGACATTGGTTAGACCACTATTGGGATACTATGTTCAATTCTGGTCTCCCGGCTGTAGGAAGGATGTTGTCAAACTTGAAAGGGTTCAGAAAAGATTTACAAGGACATTCTGAGGAAGGGTCACCGGACCTGAAGCGTTAACTGTTTTTTCCTTCACGGATGCTGCCAGGCCTGCTGAGCTTTTCCAGCAACTTCTGTTTTTGTTCCTGATTTACAGCGTCCGCAGTTCTTTCGGTTTTTATTTACAATGAAGTTGCTGGGGTTGGAGGGTTTGAGCCACAGGGAGAGGCTGTATAGGCTGGGGCTGTTTTCCCCGGAGGCTGAGGGGTGACCTTACAGAGGTTTATAAAATCATGAGGGGCATGGATAGGGTAAATAGCCAAGGTCTTCACCCCAGGGTAGGGGAGTCCAAAACTAGAGGGGCATAGGTTTAAGGTGAGAGGGGAAAGGAACCTACGGGGCAACTTTTTCACGCAGAGGGCGGTGTGCGTGTGTGTGGAAAGAGCTGCCAGAGGAAGTGGTGGAGGCTGGTACAATTACAACATTTAAAAGGATGGGTACGTGAATAGGAAGGGTTTTGAGAGGGATATGGGCCAAATGCTGATGACTGGGACGAGATGAGTTTGGGAAGCCTGGTCAGCATTGATGAGTTGGGCCGAAGGGCCTGTTTCCGTGCTGTATGACCCACACCCCCCGCCCCGCGCCAACAGCTCATGGGAGCAACTTCTTCCTTCAGCTAGAATCATTATCTCTGCGCTGTCCACTGTAAAATTCCTCCCTTGCTCCAAGGAATAACTCCAACTCCTCCAACTGGACACTCCTGATAAAATCCACCCCCCACCCACCACTCGGGCAAACTCTAATCTCCACCCCCAGCCCTCTCAAAAAAAACGATCCTTCCTAAAGTACAAACGAACACTGGTGTGGTTTAACCACAATGTAACATCTGCCTGTTTGCAGGCAAATCTCAGAGTCAAAAAAGGCCAAGGTGCTGTGCAGTTTCACAAAGAAATCCGAGATGCAATTGACTACTACTCCCAACATGCCAACAAACGATTCCAGCGTGATTACAACTGCACCATGTCAGTTCGCTTTGGCCCAACCCTTCTGCATCTCTTGTGTTAACTGGTGTCACAATAGGATAGGTCTGTACACAGCGCAGTATGTTGAACTGCAAACTGAAACTGTCGCTTCTGAATTCTGAATTATCAGCACCAAATCTTTTCTTTTGGGGCAAGATCGAACATTAGTTGATCTCATGATTACTGTTGGGATCTGCGAAGGGTGTGTGTGTGTGTGTGAGTGTGTTTGTGTGTGTGAGTGTTTGTGTGTGTGTGTTTGTGTGTGTGTGTGTCTGAATGTGTGTGTGTGTGTGTGTGTGTGTCTGAATGTGTGTGTGTGTGTATCTGAATGTGTGTGTGTATGTGTGCGTGTGTGTGTCTGAATGTGTGTGTGTGTGTATCTGAATGTGTGTGTGTATGTGTGCGTGTGTGTGTGTGTGTGTGTGTGTGTGCGTGTGTGTCTGAATGTGTGTGTGTGTGTGAGAGAGAGTGTGAGAGAGAGAGAGTGTATGGGCGTGCATGTGTGAGAGAGAGCAAGTGTGTGTGTGTGTATGTGAGAGAGAGAGTGTGAGAGAGAAAGTGTGTGTGTGTGTGTGAGAGAGAGAGTGTGAGAGAGAGTGTGTGTGTTTGAGAGAGAGAGAGTGTGAGAGAGAGAGT